CGCCAGAGGCGGCCTGCGATGGGAGCTGCAGTACCCGGGAGGGGGGCCCCTAGAGGCCCCAGGAGAACCAGCCCAGGTGGCGGATCACCCTCTGTGCTTCCGACTCCTAGACGGGGCAGCACGTGTCTGGACTTCCTCTCCTGGTGCCTCTTAGACACTGAAGACTGGGATTCTGCAGGCTGTCTGGTGTCTTAGCGGCCCTCTGATGCAGCTAGGTGGCCTGGCTGTGGGATGGCCCTGACCTGCGATTTTCAGGGAACACTGGTCGTTTTGAGCAATCTCACGATATCTTCCTTACATGGTTCTCAGGGATGGTAAAGTAAGAGTAGGAACCGAGATCTTCTCGTCCAAGAGCCAGGCATTGGTATAGGCAGGAAAGTATCTGCCACCTCCCCATCAAGTGCTTGAATGCTCCCAGTGACGGGGAGCTCATTGCCTGTCTCTGCCAGGCCAGCTCTCTTCCCTGACCTTCAGTTCTCCCTGCACAGTTGGCCCCAGTTCCCCTTCACTGGCTGCAGGGACAGGGTCAGAGACAAACCCACCCTGCAACAGAAAGGAAGCAGAAAGGCTCATGGCTTTACAGTCCTGCTCACAAAGGGGCTGGCCTGGCCACATCCCCTAGCTTTTCACCCTGAATGCAGATGGGATCTGGAGAGTGGTGGGGGCGTGCAGAGTCTCTGCTAGGGGCCTGGACAGCACCCCCATCCCACGGCACTTGATGGAAGCAAACCTGCTTTCCCCTCCAGACTCAAGGCCAGGCTCCATCCACCTCAGCGTATCCCGAGTGCTGGACCAGGCGTGGGGCCAGCCTTCAGAGATCCCCAGCTCCCCGCGAGCCAGGCCCAGCCAACCTCTGCTCTGCCTAAGACCACTGGGAGCAGGTTCATAAAACGCGAAAAATCCCCCGTTCCCTTCACCTCCGAGGAGTTTAATCTTTCCTAATCAATTTAGCAGACTCACTTGGTTGTAAATGGTAATGATTTGCATTTTTGAGCCTTTTTATCCCTCCTTAAGAAAAAAGATGCCTCCTCTGCCTGCATTCTGGAAGGGCCTGAGCAGGGCTGTGAATGGCTTGTTAGCATTCACCCTGGCGCAGATCCAGTGCCAGGCACCCGCCGCCCATCACCTGCAGGGATCTGAGTCGGGGGTGGGGTATGGGCGCACGACTGACCCGCCCGAGCCCGGAGAGCGCAGTCCGGCCCCCAGGGGGCTCGGCCCCTGTGCGCCCTGAGGCCCTGCCTTCCTGCAACGCCCCGGCTCTCCCCCACTGCCTGCTCAGCCCCACTGCTCCCTGTCTGCCGCATCCAATTTTTCTTGTTGTATTTTTCATAAGCGCGAGGCTCAGAAGCCCCGTCCTCCCTGGCACGTTCAGCAGGAAGTAGATTTCTGGAGGGGGTTGGCTTTGGGACTTGAGCTGCCATTGGAGGAGGGGTGGCGGTGTCCTCCGCTGGCTCCGCAGCTCTGGGGGGGTGAAGGAGTGGGCTCAGACGCAGTCTCGGCACATTGCCCGGCCGCCCCTTCCCTTCTCGAGGCCCCAGTCAGCCCCCTCTGACCCCCAGGACCCGTCACACGGCCAGTCCCTCTCACTCTGGGCCTCCATCACCTGTCGTATTTAGAACCTTCCAGAGTCAGCAGGTGGTGGGCGGAGGACGTAGGTGCCTCTTTTCGGCCCATGGCGCGCCCAGCTTTTCTGGGTGGAGCCAGACCCAGTCTCAGCCCACCCCTGCTTTACAGAACGGGAAACAGAGGCTGTCGATTCACAAAACCGGCTTTACCTGCCCCTCCCTGGAGACCCTCCCTGTCTGTCCATGCTCTGCTCCTTGCTGGGGCAGTCGGGCTCCCGGGACCCAAAGGGGACTCGGGGTGGGGGCAAGCCTGGTACCCGTCGAGGATGGCAGAGGCACAGGCGGGCGTGGGCTTCGGACTTGGGGAGCAGAAGCCTGGGCCCCCTAGTCGTGCCATCTCCCCAGCCGCCGTCACTTCCCCTGCCAGTGTCACCCAAAGCGGGAAGGAGCCGGTGCCCCAGCTCCTGCCCCCGAAGCCCAGAGGCCCCTGGGGTTGGCTATGCAGCCGCCGTGTTAGAGGGAGGCGGTCCAGGACACAGGAGCCGACCTAGAGAAGATGGAGGCTTCCGCGGAAGGCCGCCGGAAGAGGGAAGAAAAGGAGCTTCTGATGCACATCATGTCTGCGGAATTGAGTATGACTAATTAATAGATTTTATTCTTAGTAATCTCTTAAGCATTCCATACGTTGGGCCCCACGCCTGAGCTGAGCTTACAAGAGGCCTCATTCGCAAAATGCAAATGACTCGCCTGGCCCCGCTGCCTGCTTTCCTTGCCTTCTCTCTTTCCTTTTTTTTAGGGGAAATTTAAAGGAAAATTGCCATGTAATAGAAAAGAGATTCCAATCACTACATCTAATTACCACGAAGGGTAAACCACTTAACCAAAGAAGTGTAATGGGCTTTTTTTTTTTTAAACTTGAAACCTGCCTTAAATACCATGAGATACACTCATCAGCGCTGAGGCCACGGAGGTTTGTTCCGGCTAGTTAAGAGGCTGCAAAGGTCAGGTGGGCCACCCACAAGAGGGAGGTTCTAGACAGAAGTGGTGGCCCAGGCTCTGTGTCCTCACGTGCTTCTTGGGGCTGGGGGAGGCTGGGTGCCCTGGCACACCCTTTCTCATTAGGTTACCTGGCTGGCCTGGACCAGGAGGGGATGGGGTTTCAGAGTGGACCCAGCTTCAGGGCCCCATCCCTGACCTGGGGGGCCATGAGACAGCTGACATTTGGAGGCTTGTTCTTAGAAGGGGCTCTGGAGAGGTGCTGGGATGCTGAGAAAAGATGAGAGGAAGCCCATGGGGCCTGGCTGGGCTGAGTCTCCACTGTCTCCAGCACTTTAACACCAGCAGGAGGATGCCTGCAGCAAGGACCTGGCTTCCCCTGGGTGTGAGGTGGGGCCTGTGCCCATTAGCGCGAGAGCTGGGAGGAGGAGACTGATGTGTCCTCAGGCCGGGGTGGGGGCGGGGGGCCTGGGCCTGCCTTGCTAGGAGGAGGGTGGTCATCCCCCGGGCCTGGCTTGGAAGGCGCTGCTGGCACAGGCAGGCTCTCAGAGCTGCCAGGTTCGCCCGTAGCCTCGCTGTGTAGGGCCTCCTCCAGTTCCCCAAATGCCTTCCCACCCAGCCTCTAAGGGGATGATCTGACCTCTCACTTGGCTTCGGGAAAGGAGGACATACGAGAGGGAGAGCAGGGGACCCAGCACGTTGGTGGCTGGGGTGGGGCTTTGGCAGCAGGGAGGCTGGCACCCAGGGTTCCTCACACACTGGCCAGAGGCTGGAGTGGTGCTCTTAGGGAGAAGACGGCATTCGGGCAACAGCAGAGACCTTGCACCTCTGACCCCTCGCCAGTGCCCCTTCTCCTCCTGGACACTGCTGGGGGGGGCGCCCCTCTGCCCCTCCGTGAACCACAGGGAAGGGGCCTGTGTCTGGGGCGGGGGTGGGGGAGGGAGGGCGACCTTCACCCAGATGTGAGATTGGCGCTCGGAAGCTTTAGTCTCCTGACTTCATCGTAGGAGAAAACGTTTCAGGTGGGAAAAGGGAAAAAGCTCGAGCCTAGAATGAAATGTGTCGGTGACCCTCGGCCTCTCCGTCAAGCTGGGGGTCGAGGATCCCCGCTCGGTGAGACCATACACCCCGCCCAGCGATGAGAGCCGTGCCTCTCGTCCACCTCACTCACGCGGCCGTCGTGTCCATTCCTTTCAACCCCGGCCTCTTCGCTGAGGGGCCAGCAGCATCTTTTCATGTCGGGCGAGAGGCTGGGCCCCAGGCCTGTCACCACAGCCCTGTGACTGCTGTTTGTCTTCCTCTTCCTGCCTTTGGCTTTTGTCAGAGCAGCCGAGGTCTTTTGAAAATGCCACGGCCAGGGGCTGGACCCCTTCTCATCTTCCCTGCCCTCAGGCCAGCACCTCTCCTTTTGATATCGCCCTTCCTGGGTGCAGGACAGCTGGCACCTTGACAAACAGTGACCCCCAGCTCCCCGAGTGCTGGAACGCCATGGACATCAGAACCCCAGGCCCCTCTCCTCTCTTCTTTCCAGATTCACTGTCATTATTTCATCATCGTTTTAATCTCATGGCTCGCCAAACAGCGCTGTCAGTTGATGAATGATGGCAGCATTGATTCCAGAGAGAGGAAAAAAAAATCTCTTCTGAGGGCTCTGGTCAGTACCCTTTTGGAGGCTGGCATTTTTAGAGAGATCTGGCCTGCCTTCTCCAGAGCAGATACCCAGGGGTGGGCACAGCTGAGTGTGTTGTATATTCTTGGTAGGGGCGGGGCGGGTTCGGTTGCTGTCTCCTAGGGCTTTTCTGAGAATTGTCATGTCTTTTTCTGGGCTTTGTTTGAGCAGCCATGGAAACCATTAGGTCTAATCAGCTGATATTTAAAAAAAAAAAAGTCCCTGCACCAATTACCTGTCTTGGAGGAAGCACATTGAACACAAAGTAGCTCTTGATATGCCTGCATCGGAGGTGTAGGGGGAGAGAGATGAGGACGCTGGCGGTCAAAGAAAGCTCTTCTCGACATCAGAAAGGAGCTCGGTCCAGCCCCGGCCACCCTGAGATAGGACTGAGCTGAAAACACCCCTTGCCCAGGGTCTCCCCAGCCACCCGGCCAGGACAGACATGCCTCTGCCTTTAGGAACGGCACTGTCCCCCACCCCGCTCCCATCCCCAGCACAGTCTACTTACTCAGTGGTTTCTAGGAGAAAGCAACATCTTCGCGACTCTATTGTCTCAGGACATTGCACGAACTGACCCAAGCAGAACTGTAAGGACTGTATATGTGGCTCTGTCTGCCCATCTGTATATAGAGACACCCCATCAAGATAGATCGGTCGAGAGACGCACCTCCAGGTGGCTGGGGAGAGCCACAGCTTCCATGGCACTCCCGCGATCCTATGCTGCATGGAACTGAGGAGGGCTCCAGTATAGGAAAAAGGAAGTTTGCTTTTTAATCGACTACACCGCGGTTCAAAGAGTGCCGTGAAAGACGCGCTCTTTTCTGCCCATCTGTAAGGGAAAATGGCGTGGAAGGAGCCAGGGAAGAGATTTCGGGACAATATCTCCACAGCAAAAGATCCTTTTCTTCCCCTCTCCTTTGTGAGAAGCCTGAAAACCTTCCATCATGTCGTCTCCAGTGAGCAGCCGGCCGCGAGGGCTGTGTGAAGGGCTTCGTGCCTGGCGGCTTCTGAAACAGCTCCTCTGTGATGGCCTGGCGCGGAGCATGAGACGCACAGGTAGTCTCGTCCCAGCTCAGGGGGAAAAAGAAAAAGCCCCGACCCAACCCTTCCTGCCATATTATTTTTAGTCTTTCCCTCCCCACCTGGCATAATTTGGTATAAATTATGTCTTCAGCAACGTCAAACCTCCCTCCTGCCTTCTATTCTTTAAAAAAAAAAATTTTTTCCCCCACTGTTGTGTCCTACAAAACTGTCAACCCTCCCCAAACTCTGCTTTCCGCCGGGAAAGTCAGCGTGGAGTTTCTTTGCCTCGTTCCCGTCGGCTGGCAGCCAGCTGGTCACAGCCCCCCGCGGTGGCCACGCCGTGGGCAGGGGAGGGGCGCTGCCTCAGGTGTAGGAGTAGTCTATGTCGGGGATGCCCCCGTCGCGATAGCCCCGCGTGGTGCCGTAGCCGATGGTGTGCGTGCCCTTGCAGAGACTGCTGCCATTGGAGGGGAAGATGGTGTGGACCACGTACTCCTCTTTGGCGCGGTAAGGGTTGATGGGCAGCATCTGCAGCCCCGGGCCGCGGATCTCCAAGATGGAGTTATCCTTCTTGGTCCCCGACTCCAGATAGTCGTCCTTTTTCCGGCTGCCCCGGTTGTAGGCCCGCTCCCGGGTCAGCAGCTCGCTGGCCCGGTTCACGTACCAGCAGATGGCCCCGAGGACCAGGAAGAGGAAGACGAGGGCCACGGCACCACCGATGATGCCCGCCAGGGGCAGGCCCGCCATGGGATCGGCGTTCTGCTCCTGGTTGAGGGTGGTGGTGGGGCCGGAGCTGTCGGCTGTCTCCGCCTTTGCGCACACAGGCGTCTCGTCGGCCACGTAGGCGTTGCCGGTCTCCATGGTGACCATGCAGATGATGTAGGTGGACTTGGGCTCCAGGGCCGTCAGCAGGTACTCCGTCTTGTCACCCTGCACCAGGGTCTCTGTGATGGAGCCCACGGCCGGGCTGTGGCCCAGGCGCAGCCAGCTGAGCCGGAAGGAGGAGGCGGGCAGCGTGGCCTTCCATGTGATGCGGATGGAGTCCGCTGTCAGGGGCTTCACATGGATGGCCAGAGTCTTGGCGCTATCGCCCGTGGCCATGGGGTAGTCAAGGCTGGAGTCGGGGAGGCGTAGCCCCGGCCTCTTGGCCTTGAGGGTGAAGAGAGAGCCCTGGGGCGTGGTGACAGAGGCGTGGTCACTGGCAAGCGTGGTCTTGGCGGCGGCATTGACTGCGCTGCCCTGCGCCCCCGCCTCAAAGCACTCGTCCATCTCACTGGTGATGTCCTTGATGGCCATGCCCCGGACCTTCTCGGGGCCCTGGCACATGAGGCCGCGCACGTTGACCACGGCCGCCCGCGCCTTCACCCAGTCCCGCAGCCAAAGGAGATTGCAGCCGCAGAACCAAGGGTTGTTCCGGAGCAGCAACTGGGCTAGGTTCTCCAGGTCGTCAAACAGGCCACGGGGCAGCGTGGTCAGGTTGTTGTTGGACAGGTCCAGGCGCTCCAGCTCGCGCATCTTGGCCAGCGTGTTGTAGGGCACGTGGCTGATGGCGTTGTCCTGCAGGTAGAGCTTTTGCAGGCGGGCGCTGGGCAGGTTGAGGGGCGGGGCGGCCAGCGAGTTGCGCACCAGCGAGAGCTCGGTCAGGTTCTGCAGGCGGCTGAAGGTGTCGTCGGCGATGCGCTGGTTGGCCAGCAGGTTGCCGTCCAGCACCAGGCGCCGCAGGCGGCTGAGGCCCTTGAAGGCGTGCAGCGGGATGGTGGAGATGCGGTTGTCGTCCAGCCGCAGCTCCTCCAGCGTGCGGGGCAGCCCGGAGGGAATGCTGCTCAGGTGGTTCCTGCTCAGGAAGAGCAGCTTGAGCTGCTTGCTGTCGGCGAAGGCGTCCTCCTCGATGCTGACAGTGGACACGGAGTTGTCGTCCAGGTGCAGCTTCTCCAGCAGCGGGATGCGGGCCAGTGAGTCCCTGGCGATGGTGCGCACGTTGTTGTCCTGCAGGTGCAGCTCCCGCAGGGAGCGAGGCAGGTTGACAGGGAACTCGTCCAGGTCGTTCTCGTACAGGTAGATGACCTGCACGTTGACCTTGGTCTTGAGGTCCTGGGGGATGCCGGCGTTGTTGATCTGGTTGTTCTGCAGGTAGAGGGTGGTGGCATCGTCAGGGATGTCGGCGGGGATGGACGTGAGCCCCCGGTCGTTGCAGTAGATGAAGCCGTTGTCACAGCGGCACACGGAGGGACACGTGGTGCTGTCGATGACCTCCGTCAGGAAGGCGATGAGCCCGTAGCAGAGGAAAAGCCAGTCCCGCAGGTCCATGGTAGCTGTGGTCATCACGACGGTGGCCGTGACGGTGGCAGTGGCGGCGGCGGTGGGGTGTGCCACCACCATGGTGGACGGCTGGTGGAGCTGGGCCCCCCCCCCGACTTGCAGCCTCTACACCTGCAAGGAGCACAAGACAAGTGCGATGAGAGTGGGTCCGATGCCCACCCAACCTGCCATGGAGGCGCGGCTGCAGGGCAGAGGTCAGGCCTCAAGGCACACGCCCCCCCCCCGGCCCTTCTGAACGCCAAGTTTACATATCAGGTGCTCGCTCGGGCTGCGGTCAGCCTCTAAGGACATCTGGCTAATGTCCTCTCAAAAATGCTGCCTGTGAAGGAGACAGATGTGGCCTTGGCTTTGGCCTTCCTGGACTCTGACCCTGGGCCATGCACAAGGTTAATTTAGTGGGAGCCAGGCTGCAGGTTTGATCTTTTCTTTCAAGATCCCCACACTCATCTTTATGGCTGATGCTGAAAGGCTGGTCGGTGTCAGTGGGATGGCTTTAGAGCCCCCATTTCTCAGGAATGGGGAACCCACATCCCTCTCTGGCTCGGAACCAGGCTCTGAAGGGAAAGTTTATTTCCGCAAGGCCTGTGAGCTCAAAGTGGGGGCAGGGGGGCGTCACTAGAACCTGCAAAAAGAATCTGCCAGCGTCGTCACTGGCGAGCAGGGGAAAGTGAGGAGCTTCATCGTCTGGTGTTAAAACAACATGTCCTGTTTGTCACTTGTGCATCTTATAGACAGAAGAACGAGTGTCAACAGAACCGCCTTCTCATGTATTTACAGAAATCCCTTTCTAGCAGAGGTGCCCTCCCTACCACGTTCCATGTAATGTGAGAAATTATTCCTCACTTTGCCCCCTTCTCAAATCACAAAACTTTCAGCTCTTTTGAAAAATACATATGTCTGTTTTCTTGCATCTAAAGTCAGGAAACACAATAAGGGGAGGGAGGGGTCCACACTCCGAGGGAACTGTCTGCAAGGTGTAATTTCAGTTTTCACAAATGGAAAAATTGCAGTGTAGATTTTTTTTCTCATATTACTTTACTGTTCATGGTGGTAAAAAAATCAATTAAAGAGAAATTATCCTTCAACCTCAGTGGGGAAGGTGTGTTTGTGCAGCCAGCAGAGATCTGCTTTATAACTCCAGGTTCACGGGAGCTTTTCAGTGTGAGACACGATGGCCTCGAACGGTCTGAGCCAAGGCCGCAGCCAGAGGGGGCGGTTGGCCCTGGAGTGCAGAGCAGGATCAGGACCCACTCACTGAATGAGACGGTGGGGACCTCACTCCCATGCCCCAGGGACCCCATGTCTCCATTTCTCAACTGTGGCGCATCCTTCTTGCTTCTGTTCTTCTCCATTCCCCTCTGTCCAGCACACTGCACATCACCCTTCGGGACCATGCTCAAATGTCTCTGCCTCTGTGAGATCTTCCTGATGCCATATAGAGCTTTCCTCTGCTCCATCCATCCATCTGTCCATCCATCCACCCACCCACCTATTTACCCACCCATCTATCCATGTTCTTAAGCAAACTCTGGGATATAGCGGAGAGCAGGGAAGGTTGGTGTGCTGCAGCCCATGGGGTCGCAAAGAGTCAGACACAGCTTAGTGACTGAACAACAACTATCCGTGTACCCATCTGTACATCCATCCACCCACTCATCTATTTACCCATCCATCCATCTACATCTATCTACCACTCACCTATCCATCCATCCACCCACCCACCCACTCAGCCATCCATCCATCCATCCATCCATCCACCCATCCCCTCAGCCATCCATCCATGTATCTGTCCATCCAGCCATTCAACATACCTTTACTGAGCACCTACTATGTGCCAACCCCTGTTCTAGCCACTTGAGATTCTATTCTAGTTGGAGAGTAGCTCATACTATAATAAAGCTCATCTAGAATTGTATGAATATTTAAGTCATTTAATCTTCCCAGCAAATGTCGGGTCAGGGCCCCGGCTATTCCCATTTAACAGATGTAAACACTGAGGCTTGGAGATCTAAGTTAAGTAGGGCCACTTGAGGAGTGGTGAGGAAGAGCCTAGGGCAGGATCCTGACCACTTGGCTTGTGGCGCCCCACCTTGTGCCAGTCTCTGTGGGCTGCAGGTCAGGATCTACGGTGACCAGTGTTTTAAGGCCCCCCACTGAATTTCAGGTGCTCAAGGGCAGAGACTGTGGGCTGTGTAGGCCTGGTGTGACTTGGCACCTGTGACCACCCAAGGACAGAGGGAGCCGGCCAAAGTGCTGAGAAAGGCTGGAATGCCTCTGCCCGCTTGCTGCTGCCCCCTCAACGAATGTCTCGTTTGCATTATAGAGGCTTTGCCTAGGCTGCCGGCAGCTCCCAGGCCTTCTGGAGGGAGCTGGGCTTTGCCCCTGGCTAATGCACTAACTCCACTCAGGGCTTGCTAGCGGAATGAAGCTTTGTCCATGAGGTGGACCCAAGGCAAGGTGAGGGCCCGCCGAGGACACCAGGCTGGGAGCACGTGAGGGTGGGGGAGGGTGCCTGAGGTCTGCGCGTGAAGTCGGAAGGGGATGAGGTCCTGCGGGTGGAAGGGGGACTGGCGAGACTGACTGAAGCGCTGGGCCTCTTCCATGCCGCCCCGCTGGCCTAAGGGGCTGAGGACATTTGCCTGCTTACTCTTGATGCTCCTGTGGAGGTTGCCCCTGGTCTGTGGGTCCTGACCACACTCATGCCCCTGCCCCGGGCATTTGGAGGTGGTCTGTGCTCTCGGCCCTCGGTGAGTTTGGACAGGGCTAACCCAGGCCCTGCCTGACCCCTCACAGGCACGTGTTTGGACCCGCGCCCACCTGTCACATACACACAAGTCCTTACAGCTGAGCAGACAGGCTGAGGTCCAGAGAAGTGAGGGACCCATCCAAGGTCACGGCCAGCCCAGGTTTCCAGCTGCACCTCTGTCCCCTTCTTGGCGTGGGGCCAGAGCCGTGAAGGTCATGGAGCCTGGAAGTTGTCTCAAGAGGCGGGTCCAAGGCAGGTGCTGGGGACAGGAAGGCTCAGGCCCGCTCAAGGCCACCTTGCCTCGGTCTCAGCGGTCAGTCTGAGCCCAAGTCCCCAGCATCTGGCCAGCGGCTGCGCACCGTCCCTGACCTGTCAGCTGCTGAGTTCTGGCACTCAGGAATGCTGGTGGCCCTGGCGCTCAGGAATTCCGGACCAGTGCCCTGAGCAGGGAGCAGACTTGTTAAGGCCAAAGCCAAGGCCAGACCGCTTTCTCTGGCATGAACATCAGTTCCCCTGCCCACTCAGCTCATGGCCACAGCCCTCAGCCTCCAGAGGCCCCGGCATCATAATAGAGTCTAAATTGCACCTTTCAGAGATGTCTGATGGATAACCAAGAAGCATTTGGGAGGCAGGGACCCAAGGCCTTTCTGTTCCCCTGTCTTCAGGCCTCATCCATCTTGGCCGAGTCTCCCCAGCCGCCCCCTTCCCCCAAGGCCTCCCGATGCTGAGCCCTCTGGCTCCAGGAAGGCATGGTGAGACCTGGGGCGGGGAGGAAGATGCCTTGCCCAAGGAGCCCTTTAATCGCCCGGGTGCCACGAGGACTTTTTCTTCCCTTGTTCTGTGTTTGACGGTTTATGTAGCCATCAAATTAAACCCGGTAGATCGCCCATGTTTTACGGGGGTCACTTGTCATCGTTGCGAGAATCTAGCAGACTTCAGCATGGTGTGAGTTACGACCTGCCGGCCCCATGACTGACAGCAGGATCCTTGGCGTGCAATGGAGGTGGGGGAGGGGAGCAGTGGGATGGCTCCGACTAGGGATATCCAGACCTCCGCTAGCCCAGGGGTGACCTGGGGCTTCATTCTCGGCATCCTCCCATCAGTTGCTAGCGCCTGCTGTCCCGGACAGAGAAACCTCCGCTCGAGTGCTGCCTCTGCCACTTGCAGGCTGTGAGATCTTGAGCAAGTTACCTGCCCTCTATGAGCTTTAGCTTCCACATCTATAAATGGGGTCAGGTTCCTCTTACAGGGAGACTCACTACTGAACATTCAGTGAGGTAGTACATGCAAAGTACCCCCTCAGACGTGCAGCCTGTGTGTCCCGATTCCTGAAGTTTAAAAGCTGCTATGAGCGTGAGCAAACTCCGGGAGATGGTGAGAGACAGGGAAGCCTGGCATGCCGCAGTCCGTGGGGTGGCAGCTGTTGTTCAGAGACCACCTAGCGACTGAACAACAACAATAATTCTCTGACTGCCCCAGGCACACTGGTGTAGCCTCTGTGTCAACTGTCTGTCTCTTTGCTCTGCGATCCCGAGGCCCCTTCTTCAGTCCCCTGCTCCTGCCATGCTCCAAGGTAGACTGGGAGCAGGTAGGCCAAGCTGCTTCCTGTCAGCTGCCGTGATGCTGGGTCTCCCAGACTCACACTGTGCATCCTCAGCCCTGCCTTCCCACCCCACAAGCTGGAGCGGAAACACTGACCCCAAACCTGCCCTCTTCCCCCTAGTGCTGCCTCTGGGCCTTTGCACGTGCTGTTCCTGCTTCTTAAACACCAGCATACCTCCCCCACTCAGGCCTCGCCAGGTCAGCTTCCACTCACCCCCATCCCCAGGCCTCGGCTTGGACACCCGCTCCGTGAAGCCTCCCCTGAGTTGTTTCTGGCCCTGCCTCCCATACCCACTTGACCGGTGGTGCAGAGTAACATCTATAAACACCTGCCACGTGGACGGAGGCGCCTCCCAGGTGGAGACCCTGGGCTCTTGGTGCTCTGCCCTGTTGTGTTTCCCAAACCTCATGAAACGGGGGCTGCCAGACGCCCAGGGCCCTCTAGGGGGTCTTCCTGGGGAGACAGCGTGAAGGCAGCATGTGGGCAGGGGAGCTGCGGGACCCTAGGCCCGGCACAGGCCCTGGCATGCTGGATGGGAGACGGCACCCGAGCTCCTGGCGGGGGGCACAGTTAGACATGAGCACACTCGGGGGCTGAGCAGCGGTGAGGGTCATTTCTGGAGGGAGCTGGGGGTCCCAGGCAGGAGCGGTAACTCTGGATAGGACTCCCCCTGCCTCCCAGCCTGGCCTTCTTTCCTGTTCGCCAGTGAAGGCAGTCCGCGTGGGCACGTCCTGAGGCTGGGTCTGCCACAGTGCC